ACACCAATTTAAATGAAATAGTCATGTAGTGTGATTTTCAAAACAACCACATGTTGGCAGAAATTATGAGTGATAATGATGATGAGGGAGTTTATAATTAGTAATGGTAAAAATACTAAAAAGTGTGAGAAAGCCATGACTAAAATTGCTCAATCAATTTGAAAAAAAACTCCAAATGATTTGAAATAATTGGCAAATTGATCTGGGGAGAATGTTGACTTAGATATTTGAAAAGTAAAATAGTTTGTTTTTCCATGGGTTTTGAATAATTAAAAAATCCATCTTGAGAATGTGGAGAATATTGACCGGAATATTTGAATAGTAAAATTAGCATTTGTATGATCACTGATTTTTAGTAGATTTACCTAGTTATATTGAGGGTCAAAACTATCTAAAGTATTAATGTATAGTCTCTTCTATGATATTGTAGAAATTGAATCTCTAATAAGAATATCAGTCCAGTACTTTCAAAGATATGATGAACTGAAATTTCATCGATCTGTGCTGCTCCCTATAGATGTACTTAATGGTACCCAGCTATCTTTATGTTTCTTAATTATAGGTTAAGTAATCGAGACTGAATTAAAGATGCATTATGTAAGAGCTAAATCGGCCTATTGCAGGTCTTTATTTTGGGTTCAAATGTTATATAAACTAATATTAAAACATTAAAACAGGGTCACCAAGCCTTAATAACAAGTACAGTTGTTACAATAGTAAACTATCTATGCCACATCTTGTCAATATCCAAACAGTGATAACTTCGCTCAGAATAAAGTAATTTCAATGAAATTTTTCAATATATTCATTTTGCATTATCGATTTTTGAACCATTATAGCAATAACGATCAACTCTTTTTTATATAAGTCCTACATAATTCATCTTTAAGCTGTGAAAAATTAAATATTTTCCGAAAAATGCAAATCATGCACAGTTATTTTAATGAGCTATTCAATTAATATCAGTAGTTTCAAAATATGAAAACACTCTGTAATTCAGTCTCTTTGATGACAAATTAGAATTCATTGATTATTAATTGTTTACTTTAAATTTCTAAGAGTGTAATTACATATAATAAAACTTTATGTACAAAAATTCATAAAACAAATAGCAAAATCAAGATAGTAGTAAATGATCTTCCTAAAGGGAAAATGTCCAAAAATCAATACCCTGTGATGTTCCGGAAGAAGTAAGCAAACAAGGAATAGAAACTTTAAGGTAGTAAAAGTCTGAAAGTTTAACAGGTGTTGATTTCATCAGTTCATTAAACTGCATGCTGCGGCTATTAGGCAGACAGCCAGTTATTATACAGTAGAACAGAGACTGACAAGACATAGTCTTGTAGACCACATAAAGACTACCGATATTTATAATGATTAAAAACAAATGTTTAAATGATCATATACATAGGTAATAATCCTTTTGAATACAGCTTTGTTGGTTGGGGATTTTTACTTTATGACATATTATTTATGGAGGATTATTCCCTTTTATCCCTAACTGTATTACTGAGGTTCCACCCGTAGACTGTACTTTTAGAAAGGAGTTAATTTGTCGCAATCTTGTAATAAATTAACACATTTATAACACACTTATTACATCTAGACAAGCAAAGAAACTTAAAATCTTTCAACATTCAGATGAAAAACATTATGTGTGCAATGTTTATGAGAATTAGTGCAATTAAATCATGGAGAAAATGAGTCAATGACTTTCCCCTTGGGTAATGACGAAATCATCTGTTTGCATTTGATAATTTTGTTACTACGTTAATTTAGAGAAAAATAGAAGTACTCTATAAGGAAAAGTGTTACTTAACTAAGTTCATTTTCTGGCTATTTTTTTTTCTCTTTCTTTTATATATCATGCAAGGTTTCTATGCGAATGTTGAATTTTGTTTTTTTAATTCCAAGAAATGTAACCTGTTTGTTTTGTTATCTTAACCTTTGCTCAATATTGTTGCATTTCATCATGTTGGCTTTATTTATTTTATAAGTGTTGAAACATTTGAGAATTGCGTCTGATGTTTGCAGCCATTGTGAAATATAAATCTGTTCTGTTAGACAATAACATTCAGGTGCAGTATTTAACATTACAATATCTGTGTAACTATTTATGAAAAGGTCGACACAGCAGCTCGATTCCCGTACATTAACCATCTGCTTTTAGATGTCATTCTAGTTTGGAACAAACGATGGAGAATATTTGGCAAGTATTGAATTGATTATTAAGATCATGTGCAAAATGGTTGTAAGAAAGTTACTTGGGGTGCTGCAACATTACAGACATTTATCGACATAATGTATGTATGTATGTATGTAAGCCAACATGTGCATGGCACACAAAGAATGTGATTTAAGAACTGCATGTAGTACACAGAAATAAGGTAACATAATTTTCTTAAACATATATTATGCAAGAGCTTAATCTTCCTATTACAGGTATTTCTTTAGGCCTGAAATGTTATCTAAATTATTAATTAGACATTAATTAACTTATCCAGACCATAATCAATTCTCAATGTCATCACTAGCCTGCGATATTTACTGGATTGGAATCCAATATGCTGCTCAACACTCATTGATGATTATATCAAAAAATGGATAATTGAGACCGTTTTTTATTCTATCCACTTTAGTAATGATCGAGGCCAGGCCTAAGATTCAATCCCAAATTTCTCGATTCATAGTGGATCAATATGACTGAAAATTTCAGCAAATTCCCTTTACATTATCTAGTTTTTAACTGTTATAGTGAGAACCTGCAGCTCTTTATCTAATCTCCCATAATGTATCTTTAATAAGAGTAATTTTGTTATGATCATTTTTAATTGATTGGCTCAAAAAATAATGTTTTATTAAGTAATTTATCATTTATTAATTTTATGATATGTACAATGTACTAAGCTTGTAATACCAACCCATGATGGTGTATTCAGTATAATGCATATTTTTACAAGAAAAGAAAAACTACATATAAGATAAAATAATGCGAAAAATGCGATAATCTGATAGTATACAGGTTTTTCTGTATGCAGAATGGAATTTTGTGATGAACATTCTGGTAATCAACCTGCATAAAAACACTATAATCATGTTTATTTACCATTGAATATCATGTAACATAATATTTGGACCATTCAGGAATGACATAAATTACAAGGAAGTCGGCTTTTTATTTTTTTATTCTCTAAACCATGTAAGATGTTTGTTTTTAATTTGATTTTTCCTGGTCGTTACAAATATTTTTCTCAAAGATAACAAGCTTAGCTCTGTCTGAAACAAGTGTGCTGGTTTCCAGCTTGCTTCCTCAAGTTGTGGTCATGAAGGGCAGAGTCTGATCACAAAAGCTTTGTCAAGTTGGGGTCAAGAACGGCCACAAACTAACAAACCACAAGAAGAGAAAAGAGAACAGGGTAATAAAAATATGTTTTGAGATTCTGTTTCAAGAAAGAGTGTTCAATTGCATATGGTAAATAGACAAATTAATTAAATTTTCCAAAAACTAAAGGATTAAGCATGTGTTTAATTACTCGTAGAACCAGGAGTGGTATCAGATGTTAATAGATAAAAAAAATAAGCCTTATACGTAACATAAAAGCTAATTGGAACTACAATTTGCAGATAGTGTAAGGCAACTTTTAGATTTGGGGTCAATAAAAAAAATTCTGTTTTGTATTTGGTTACTTCCAGGGTATCGCAGGGGTCAAATAAGTGTTTACTGATACTAGTAGGGGTTAACTGGTTAGGGTTGGATTAGAAACCACTGTGTCTGAACAGAAAACATATGCTGAAAATTTCAGTCAAATTGCTTCACTCTAAGCCAAGAAAACCTCTTTTTAAAATCTGTGTATCCTCGATTATCATTGTTACACTGTCACGATAATTAACAAAATCTTGATTATCCATTTTTGCGTTGAATCATCAACAGACGTTGAACAGAAGATCGGATTCAAATCCAATGAAAATCGGATAGATAAGATGGCATCAAGAGTTGATTATGGTCTGGATAAATTAATTAATGTCTAATTAATAGTTTATATAGCATTTCAGGCATAAAAAAGACCTGCAATAGGCATATTTACCTCTTGCATAATGCATGTTTAATGATAATTGAATTAATTTTTTAACCTGTGCATATGTAAATTAAATTTTGCAAATTTTATCATGTCTTAAAAAAAATGTTATCTATTTTTATCACGTATCTAGTATTGTCTTAATTGAAATTAAATGGGGTTGAATGTCCTACTTTTCTGCAACTGACTAGTATTGTCTTAAAGAAACAGTATCTATTCTTATAATGTGTCTGGTGTTGTCAGCAGATATATAATCAATACTACTGATTACCCTGTTTACCTTAACACACTAATCTATCCTTGATCAAATTTCTATTGGACTGACAACAGCTTCAAGGATAACATGCAGTGGTTGTTGTCAGAAAAATTGGTTTCAAACTGGGTATTATGAGCCTTAGATGAGTACTGTATCAAGTTCCATGTGTGCATGCTTCTGGTCAATGATATATGATCAATTGCGTTGACAGGTTCCTACATGACTTTTCATCCATTGTCAAATTTGGCATACCTTGACAAGTAACCCGGAGAAATAAGTCATTATGGGCACCTCAGCTGTTTTGTCTAGTCTCCTGTCTGTCTCTAATTATAAATAACACAAAGTTTCTGTGACAAAGATGCACATTTGTCCAGGGAAATCAGATGTTGAAGAGACTGGAAATGTGGTATTTCAGATAGAGTTAGTTCTCTAAAAATAGAGCGAGTCATTTGGAACATGATCTCGGATGACCAGTTGTTGGCAGACAGATATTTTTTCTCATTGATAAATTGAACGTGATTCATTTGTAGACTTGATGTTTGATTCCCGTTGTTTAATGTTTAACATCACGACCCTGATTTTCTGAGCGCTGATTTGTTGATCGAACCACTACGTCAACTAGTTAAACAATTGGATGGTTTTGTAAACAATGGCTGAAGTTCGACAGTGACAGGAAAGTCGTTAAAAGGAGTTTCTTGTCTTGTCTAAGACTGTTAAGAAATGGTTTGTTTTGGGTATATTTTGTGATTATGGAGGTTTAAGTAGGTGTGAAAATGGATTTAAATAATTATAGAGATGGATATTCCTGGTTAGCAAGCGGTAAGTTACACAACATCCAACACATGATTATCATTTTGCAGTGGAGTCACATTTTAGTTTACAAATATAAATAATGAAATATTTTGCGTATTGTTGCATTTCAGTAACTTTTATGTAAAATTGTCAATGTGACTCCAAGTTATTTCTTTTACACTCTCCGACTCTGAATATGTCAAAATTTTGTAAAATATTAATAAGAATAAAAAAGAACATCAAACTTTACAAGTTTCTTGGTATCATGTGTTCTAGAATGAGTAGCATACTCAGCATTTTGTATGACACCCTTCATCTTTTATAGCTAATTGGAATGAAAGTTTTGATTCTGATTTCAAATGCAGAAACTAATTGGTTAAACGTAAAGCTGGTACACGTGGCTGGAAACATTCTATTCTGTTTACCTGTGATATTTTTTTTCTAACCATATAGTCTAGCCAGTGTCAAGAACAATGTCCTCATTTTGTGTGTGTGTGTCCATATTCAGGAATCTCCCACATTCTATTAATTCACTTATATTGGTCTTTTTATACTTTTAGGTTATTGTCCTCACACCTCACAGTTAAAGAATACTGATTTGGGTCAGTCAGAATATCTGACTTTGGTTTTCATGTAATGACTTCCCTAAATACCATTTGATTTTAACCAACCTTAATATACACATGCATTGTTGGACCACTGAATTATTTGCATATTTGCTACTCATATTTCATTGGTTTTATACATTCTGTGCATCAACTAACTCATGACCATATGTTATTAAAGAAAGTTTTAAGGAGAAATAAGAGCTGATTGGATGATATATTCTGTACTATAACTTGGCTAATTATTATATATACTCTTCAAAAAAAGTAGGGGATATTCAGAAACAATACAAAACTGTGGAAATACACTGCTGTTTTTATTAGAGGTAACCAGTGTATGTTAATAACAGGCCAATTGCCTGCACATGAACATAAACAGTTCATATTGGCAGCTTATCTGACGGCCCCATTTCACTCGCAAAGAGATTCACTGTCAAAAGTGAAAATGGACGTATTTGATTTTTGTCTTAATAATGAGTAATTGCTCCACCAATCCTCAGACATCCAGCAATTCGTCGGGCATGCTCTTAATCAACCGTCCAATCACGATTTGGGGCAATCTGACCCACTCCGCTTGCAGTGCCACGGCCAATTCTTGCAGTGTTGTCGGTTGATCAAATTAAACGTAACACACTAAAGCAAAGATACGCTAAACAGTAAATCTTATGCAAGAACCTATAGGAATGCATACACGGATAGATAAAGCAGTTTTCATCAACCCTTCCTTGAAGTGTCAAATTTGACAATGAACCCCTCCAAAGTGTATGACGCTATTGCGTGTAGCATGTGCAGCTCAGTGGTTCTGTTGGGGCGGTAAGTTCTTCATCTGTGAACATACTCTCAAAGCATGTCAAGTGTCCATGATTATTTATCAAATCACAACCTGCATAGGTATTTGCATTTTAATATCCCCTACTTTTTTTGAAGAGTATATTATTCACTCATATGCTGGGGACATTTCCATGAATTTGTTTGTTTTTGACTATGTTTTAGTTTTGATATCTGTATTATCTAAGCCAGAATGTTGTTTTTAGAACATCCATTGATTTACTCTCGGCAGGAATACCTCATCGACTGATATCATTAAAAATTGAAGACATACAATATTGTTACCTGGTTGCTTGCTGCTAATTAAACCTTTTTCTAAGTATTTATTATGTCACTGTTATTTATACATCCCTAAAAGGCAGACAGGTGGAAAATATAAACTTTTTAGTATCAAATGCTACAGCATTATAACAGAAATAGGCACTGATATGAACTTCCGAAATAATTGAGAAGTGATATCAGTTGTTCATGTTCTTGCTTGGAAAAATAAACCATTACATTATTAATGTATATCTTTGGTCAAGTATCAGGATTTTTTGATAAGAATTTCCTTCTGTAATTTATGTTCAAAAAATAAGAATCATTTTAGTGGTTTTGTAGAAATAGTCTCTATCATCCAGAAAAATATTCTTCGTTATCAACATTTGAGAATAATAGGTCATCGGCTAGATTATCCGGTCATTTGCATTATCATAGACAAATTTTAAGGGATGTAACTAGGCCTAAAACAAGATGTTGACACCTATGAAATTAATTTAAGAATGCCATTTCAAAAAATCCAGTTGATTACATATCCAACACTCTTAATTTTTTTTATTGTAAAATTTCTCTCTTCATGGGCCATATGTATGTTTTTTTATATTAATCAAAATTGATCGTCACGATTCATGTTTCTTTATATTAATGCAAGAATTACGGGATTTATTGTGGGAAGGTGCGCAACTCTTACTTGACTTGGCCAAAGATACTGGATAATGAACCACATTAAAAACCAAACTCCTGGTTATGCACTGGCAATGGACTTTCCGTCAAATATTGACAACGGTCCCAGACCTTCTGTACGTTGAAGACTAGGAGGTTCTGGGTGACCGAGACTAGTGTAGAAATAGTCCTGTATGTTAAGTCCTAAAATGACCTATTATGTTGATTTTAAACTCCATATCCATAATTTTAATTACATTATATTAGAACTAAGTACTTTATTTATAAAACTTCTTTTCAAAGGATTCTTACTCGGTCATTAGTCTTACCCATCTCCCAGGTAAGGTAGTAGAATTGAAACCATATTGACACTTACTGAAGTTTGACCTTGTGCCAAATTCAGATCTATTTCTCCAGTAAATACTTATCTATATCTATATACCCATCCTTTATTTCTTACATAAATAAAAGGTTGATATACTTATATTGTCTTTACTGTTTATAGACTCTTGACCAAATTATTTGTTGAAGTAAATCTTGTTTATTAATCCTTTATTGAATATTAAGATATTGTTGATATAGAATTTACACTTATAGAGATAAAGAAAAGCACAAATTTTGATATTAATATTGGTCAATCTGCAAGTTCATAGCTGTAACCTTGAAGATAGTAAAAAAAATAACTGTTGGACTTGGACATCTCCCTTGGGATCATTTGGAAGCTTCAGGACTTAATCATATCCTTGAAATACCAATTATAGAACTCAGAGATCATTAGGTAACAAGCTGAGCAATTCAAACAAATTACTGTAATTTCTGCAGTATAAGATATTTTGACACATGCATAGTTTGCCATGGTTTTGAATGAAAAACAGAATATGAAGTGTTACCTAGTCTAGTCATTCGGAGATTCAGATGTGTACAAATTGGTGTATGCTTAAAAGAGCCCTTTACAGTTTCATCCCTAGCATTGCACACATGACCATAGAAAAAATAACCGTTTCAAGATGACCAAAACTACTTTAAGGCATATAGGTCTATACATTTCACTACTTCTTGTGGAAGTAGAATATATGCTTGCATTATTAAATTTAACCCCTGATTAAGTTGGTTTTATATTAGTCTGCATGAACACTACACTCTCCGGGCTTAAAAACATCAGGGTTTTTAAACTTACAAAAAGCCATATGATCTGCATATTAAATAGGCTACTGCCACTTGTCCAATTTGTTAGTAATTTTACTTGCAGAACTCTTTTTTCCTGTTCATATCTTTCTGTGCTTCATTCAAACAACATAATTTGATATTCTTGAAATTTAACCAGCTACTTGAGTAAGAGGATATGAGAAAGGAAATGAACTAATATTATTACTCTAGCATATATTATAATGTGATGATTTATTTAAAGGAAGTAGTGACATGCTGTTGTGATATTTGACACTGTCTTAGTAGACAATCAGTATAAGATAAGGTTATTTAGTGTGCAGTGAGAAATATACAAAACATCTTGATATATGTCAGAATAATCTTAACAGCTTGTTTTTGTCAATATTAGCCTCATTTGATGATATTTATAGGTAACGTACATAAAAGTTGATGTCATAATATACAGTACTTACTAATGTTCTTATATTGTTAGAGCATACAAGTGTCAGATACAGAGATGTAGAAATTTTTAATTACATGTACCAGTAATCTGGCCATTTTAACCCCTGAAACAATTTGAAGTTTTTGTTTTGCTTTTGTATATGAATTATCAGGACATTAATTTAATAGACCAAAACTAGATATTTCTATTCAAACCAGTTTTTTCTTAAATTTTTATAGGAAATAAGGTTATAGATATAATAAAATATTGTAAGTATTAATTGCTATTGATAAAATATATTTAGATAGCCAACAGATCAGTATAAAAGGCTATCATGATGGGATTACTGTTCTTTTAAAACCAGGTTAAAGATTTCAGTTATTGACATAGAAATGACACTGTTTGATTTTTTTATACGCCCACATGGAAATGTGGTCATATATTGCCGTTGTCCCCATCTGTCCGTCCAGCCGTCGTCCACACTTTCTTGTGAACGCTCTACAGACCACATTTATCATTTAATTGTTTTGTTATTGATATATGTTGTATACATTACTGGGATGAAGAAGCCTATTTAATTTCAATAATTTCTGTTAATTTCTTCTAGAGTTATGGCCCATGTTTCACTTTATTGCACCTAATGACAAAAATTATCATCAGATCTCTGAAATTTACATTCATTCTTTAAATGAGTGAAACAAAGAATCCTATTGAATGTCAGCAATTTCTGTTAATTATGTCTAGAGTTATGCCCCTTGTTTCAATTTCTGTATGAAATTTATATGCATTATTTAAATTAGTGGAACGAAGAAGCCTTTTGAATTTCAGAAATTTCTGTTAATTATTGAACCATGTGAATGCTCTAACAACAAAAGTTATCATACGATCTGTATGAAATTTATATGCATTATTTAAATGAGTGAAACGAAGAATCCTATTGAATTTCCGTTAATTAGTTCTAGAGTTGTGGCCCTTGTTTCACTTTGTTGAACCTTGTGAATGTTCTAACAACAAAATTTATCATCCGATCTGTAGAAAGTTTATATGCATTATTTAAATTAGTAAAATGAAAGATCCTATCAAATTTTAACATTTTCTGCAAATTACTTCCAGAGTTAAGGATCTTGTTTCAGTTTGTAGAACCTTTTGAAACCTCAAACATCGGAATTTATGATCTGTATGAAATGATCTTATAAATGCCCCCTATTACCTGCAAATGAATAAATATGCGACAACCATATCGATCGCTTGGACGATTTAGCTTCTGTGGGCGTATGTTTCGTTGCCTGACAACCTATCTTTTTCAAAAGAGTTGAGCAAGTGTTAGTGTTAATTGCATAGTTAAATTCTCTATTATGACATGTCTATTATTACATACCAGTAGTTTTAAATTATTATATAAGCCATGAGTCTATAAAATTGATAATGGTCTAGTGTAGGAATATTTTACAAAAGAGACCTAGAGAAGGTTATTCAGCATTAAATACTTTTTAATGAGTATTTCATGTATACTTGTCCATGCCTAGCAGAAATTTATAATTATTCAATTAGCAAGAAGAAGATATTTCATTAGTTACAAATTAATTGATTTGTCTTAAATTGTATAGATCACAACAGATTTACAGGAAGGTATTGATAAGTTTTATTTGATGTACATCTGTCCCTTTTTATGTCAATAATGTTCGAAGCTGAAATTTTAAAAAATTGGAGAGCAGGTATGAGTTGTCTTCTACAGCACAGCCCATAAAAAATGGTGATGGCCCGTATTAGATGACCTGTATGTCACTCGAGTCACACATAGGTGTTTTGCTTATAATTAAGATCTTACATTCTCGAAAACTTGAATCTGAAACGATACAATTTTGAGATTAGGTTGTGGGATATCATTACATTTCTGACAGTATCATATATACTGTCACTACTTATTCAGAATAGACTTCTAGTTTGAACCAAGCATCTTGATTTTCAAGAACTACAGATGTCAGAAGTGGAATGAAATAATCTGTTAGAAATACAGGTTTCGACATTATTTTTAAATGTGTATTATTTATCATTGCAGGAAGAAGAACTTATCCAGTACGTGAAGGAGACATATTGGGCCTTCCATCTACTGTAGATCGATATAGTTCTTATGGCAAAGACTACTCTTTGGGTTAGTAAAATGTATAGATTTCTTCTATACAAAATTATTAAAGGACAATATTGGTGTCAGTCATTATCACATATGTGATAGAGCTGGTTAAACACATTCCAAATATAATTTTAACACAGAGATCATTGCTACGATAGCTGATTAATACAGGTTTCCCGAATCGGAAGTGACGGACGCCAAAGGAAAACATGAGTCATATCTCTATATAACTGACTGATGTGACGAGTGATAACAGATACACGGCCCAATTTCTGCTCACTAATAATTCCTTCGTCTTGGTAGTTCTAACACAATACTTTAGTCGTTTTGAGAAAAACATATGGTATTGTTTAAGCCAAAGGTGCTTCATATTTAATATATGTTAAGTCAGTGATTGCAAATTCATTGTGTAAGTCAGTGATTGCAAATTCATTGTGTTACTGCCAGCGAAAAAGTTGGTCTAATGCAAATGTAATAGGACAGTTTCCATTAAAGTGTTTATGTAAAAAAATAGCTTGATGAGCGAATTTTCCGCAGTGTTTTTTTTTTTTTTCGCGTGAGTGAAGTGTGCACATGCGTGCCCCAGCTGGCATTTACTTTCTGGTGTACAAACACGGGTTCTCTTCCATACAGTCAATCAACCGCTATTGGACATGGTGTTATAAAAAATCAACGACTGAAAGTAAACGATGTCGGGTTCCATGCTGTATAGAGAAATCCTCACTTATGACGTCATTTATGTGTGATTCCCCAAACTTTTCAGAGATTTTTCTTTACACATGGAAATACAAAAATTGCACGCAAAAACACGTACATGGAAAGCGGGCCTAAGTGAACGTAGAAAATTTATAGGTCTTGGTACAATGTGATACAGTAATGTAATCTTGCATATATCTAAACTTTATACTGAAGTTTTTATTATACACTTAATCAAAACATCTGATACAATGTTTTATTAGTTTGGGAATTTTACACAGTGATTTTACAAACTTTCTTATATAAATGTTTTTGTGATTGTTGCACTTTGATAATCAGGGCCGGAATTAGCTCAGAGCAACGAGGGGGGGGGCGGGAAGTGTTCTCAGGGGTGCTGTAAAATTAACAGACAATGTATATCGATGGTCGACAATTTTTTCACAGGGCGGGGGTTGGGGGGGGGGGTGCGAAACTTATTGCAGCCCCCCTGCACCCCCCAGTTGCGGGCCTGTTGATAATGCTTGCTTTATATAAATAACTTACGTAAATGCACTTATCAAACCAATTAAAATTACTAAAGGATTTTAGAAGTACTGATTATATCAATGAATTGTATGGTATGATTTTGAATCTAGGAGTGCTACAACATATATTGGGTAGATTTTAGGGTAGGTAAAATAGGTATTTATTTATGTCTATACAGGTGATAAATCATTTTATTGTCAGTTACTAGCCAAGCAAATATTTACACAATGGTATAAGAAAACATATACATAGATAGTGCAAGTTTCCTAGTGCATTATGTTCACTTCATGATACAAATCTTTTAATGTAGTTGTTTGGTTGTTGGTTTAGAGGCTGTATTTACTATTTTTTGTTTGGAAATATGTGTGAAGTCTGATTAGCCGTATGGGTTAATGCTGTCCTTTCTGTTGGTGGTCTGTTTGGTCTGTATGGCTAAATCATTGACTTTTCGACTTTTCCAGAACTGCCAATGTGATTATAGGTAAATTGTTTCAATGACACTTAGTAATTGAACTGGAATATGCAGGTCACAATTCTATGGAATACAATTACTGCTTATTACTGAGCGACGTTTAGACTAGGTTTCTCTAGTCATTATCAAGCAATGATAAGATGTGAAAATATAATATACATGTACACAACCATACTTAGTTAATGCTGACCAACCAGAGATACCCCTTCTAATTATATATACTTAAAGGGAATCTAATTCAATTAAGGATTATAAAGTTTAATGCTAATAACAACATTCAATACGACCACTTTACCTGAAAATTATCACAAATTGATTTATTGATTAATGGGTAACTTGTTGTGGAGTATTTACAATGATTTGATTAGGTTTTAATAATGACCAACACTGAAAGAAGATGAAATTTGGTAAAATGTTATCAACGTCCACTTTACCCGAAATAATCCCAAATGATTAATGGATAGCTTGTTGCGGAGTATTTACAATGATTTGATTAGGTTTTAATAATGACCAACACAGAAAGAAGATGAAATTTGATAAAATGTTATCAACGTCCACTTTACCTGAAGTAAACCCAAATGATTAATGGATAGCTTGTTGTGGAGTATTTACAATGATTTGATCAGGTTTTAATAATCACAACACTCTAAAAAGATTGCATTTGATTGGTACATGTATTACTATTATAACAATAAATGTTGATATATGCATATGTTGATGTAAGTGATTCCACTAATATGAAAAACCTTTAGAACAATGACTGCACAAATCATCAATGGTCCCCTGAAGGCTGACTATTTGAATTAATGAGTAGTGTTTGTACTGGATGCTGCTTAGCCTATGATTATGTAATAAGAGTATCATACGCCCTGGGGAGGAACAATCCTTGATCTCTGTTCATCGTTGGTTTGTGTCTTCATATTTGAATGGATTTATGCAATTGGCACGCCCTCTTGTTGCTTATATTGTTGCATATTGGTTTAACATTGCACCATTGAACTCTGTGGCGGGAGTTGGAGTTCAAGTAATTAAAAACATGTAATAGAAGGGGTATCTCTGGTTGGTCAGCATTAACTAAGTATAGTTGTGTACATGTATATATTGTCTTGTTATATTTTCACATCTTATCAAGTTGCTTGATAATGACTAGAGAAGCCTAGTCGAAACGTCGCTGAGTAATAAGCAGTAATTGTATTCCATAGTGAAGACTTGGTTATAGTATCCCAATTGAGCAATTTCAGAAATCTGCTTAAAATTTTAATTTGAAAACAGTAATTACATGTACATGATAATCATTGAGCATTTTTAAAAATTGAATAACATTCACGTTTCATAATTAGATTTATAGTGCTGGCACTCTATAAGTTCATTATATTATTATTTAAATAAAAGTATTGTTGACGCCTTGTATGGCTAACAATCTTGGAGAAAAACAAGATGAGTGTATGAAATCAATAAACAGTAATGGAAAATTTACATGGCCATGACTTCTTTTAGATTTTATTGATTTGAATAATTTTTTGACCAATATACTGTTTGATAAAACTTGATTAATTTTGTGATGATCAGAAAGTCTATGTTAGACTTTTTGGTCTGGAATACTGTACCTATAATAAAGAAATCAGGTTGATGTACGTACATGACAACCTTAATCTATGGAACATTTAAATTGTCTATTTATTGTACTAAATATACTGGTTTAAATCTACTATCTTGTGTAAATATCATTGATCAACTAGCCCTTACCACATCTTGTTCTGCATGTATTTGACACAGGTGAGTATGGTTAATAGTAAGTAATCAAGTCAGTTTGTCAATAGGTTATTTATTCACAAACTTGTTTCAATTTATTTATTGTTTTTGAAACAGGGTCACGATGCCTTTTATCAGGAATGAAATTTCAGAAGATTTGTTTCTCAGAATTTATGTCAAGCTGAGAATAGACTGTTCACTGTTTTGTTTGTCCATTTTTGTGTCAAATTTTAGTATTTTGCAGTCTTTTGCGAATGATAATAGGGTGCATTAAAGGTATTTCTGTGTTGATTTCTCTTCTCTAATTGTAAATAAAGCCTTTATTTAGTTAGTTTTATTTTTAAAGGCCAACTGCATGTGTATGTACACAGTTCTGAAGTGCTGTATTTAGAATTTAGAAGTTAAAATAATACAGACTGTCAAATATTGGTTTTATTCACCACTGCTTCTATGGCACATCTTTGAAATAGTTTTAATATTACTTGAGAAATTGACTGTGTTAAGAAGGAACTTGGTGTTGTGTGGCCTCTCACTGTATTTCATAAACTGCCATAGTTGGGGTCTCAATCAAATGCTTGTACCTGACTTCTGTATCTAAAGGGGTTTGGATGGTCAAGTGGTCTAATGCACTCTCTGTAGTTAATAAGGCCTGTTATCTTTGCAAGTCATGGGTTTGATCATAAGCTTGTGACAACGACCAGTGTTGCCTGCTTAACCCAATTGCTTGTGAAATATTGAATTATACAACTTGTTAGTTCCAAAATAACCTAATAGTGTTGAGTTGATGTTAACAGCCTTCTTTAAGAGACAGTGTTTATGTTAATGAGATGAAGAGGTTATCGCTCTTGATCAGTTTGAACAAATCTTGAAATTTATTCACCATTATATTTTCATCAATGATTGATTTCAGAGTTATTGCCCTTGACACTTTGATAAAACATGCAGATGTAAATTTATATTTTTAGTGTCTTTATTCACAGTGGTTATGATCATGAGATGAAGAAGTGTAGAAATACTTTGAAGTTATTTGCTCTTAACAACTTTTAAACATCTTGTGAATACTCTGTTTTTTTTGGGTTCATCCAAATGATTAAGCAACACTTTCCTTGTTAGCCCTGACAAGTGGGAACTGGACTTCAAAGATCCTAGGGTTCTTTTTGTGATTCTATACCTAGACATGCTAAACTACAGTCCATTGCTCTTACGTACATGTATACTGCTCAACTAGCCGACCCCTTTATAAATATAAGAGTAACTGAGATGATATTAATGATAAACCAATAGACAGACAGGTAGAGTAAGTTGAAATTAAATGTAAATATACTGGTAGGCTGTTTCATTAGATAGGGTACAGATTAAACAGGGCAGGTAATATTTGTCTAGATGGTGACCCACAACCTCTCACCTTTTAACCTGATGATCATAGTGATAATACAAATGTCAGGATAAGAGGTCATAGACAGTATCTTTTACGCTTTGATCATCTTATTGTCATGATTGATCTGAAATCTTTTTATTATATTTTTAAAGTTTAAGCTGGATCTTTCATTATACCCAGGAATTAAAATCTAAAATCTCTTTTCAATTTCGTTATCAATACCATTGTAATTTATTTAGTGAGTAGCAGTATTTTAAGTTGATCGACCAGCTTCAATTATGTAGTTTATTTCGATTTTTCTTCATCCCATTCATTTGTGGCATGGTATAAGATTTTGCTTTGAAGTGTGTTTAGATATATTTGTTTTGTGTCAAGAGATTTTGCGATTAAGCTGTGTTTGAAAATGTGAATTCTTTTGTTTTATTGAAATTGATAAAGAGATGTGCATGTATGTAATAAAATGTGCTGAAGTGACAGAATATAGTGTTATAATTTGAACAGCTTCGGATGGAAATCAAAGTGAAATAAAATGACTAGACAGGGGAACAGGGGAAATCATGCTAAAAATTCCAAGGGAAGTTTCCCAGCCAACACTCTCTAGCAAACTTATTTGTTTTATCTTTTCAGGTCTAAGAAACTTTGAACGGCATTCCACCACCTACTCTAGAGATTATGTAACAGACAGTATGTCCCGCTATTCCTCTCGAACCTATGACAGTGGTATTGGTTCCAGACGCTACGATACTACATCATCACGACCATATACCTCTGGTTCTTCGTACACCAGTGGATCATACAGTGGTTCGAGATCTTTCGATTCTGGGAGATATGGTTCAAGTAGCGGAAGTCGCTATGGTGGATCTTCTTATACCAGTGATTTAACCGGTAGTTCTTCTAGATATGGTATTAGTGGTGTCAGGTAAGTAGACAGCCAAGGCTCTCAATTACTCATTGCTACAGTATTAGAGTGAAATATATGATAACATGGATTTAGTCAGTAAAGCTCCAATATAGTGGTGCCATATTTTTTATAACATAGAAATATATCAAAATCAAATCTTTTGGTTCTGATCATCAGGTTGAGTGATCCATGTTTATTTTCAAAACTGATCTAAGTTATAATTTAGGCAAAATAATGTAACATTTATCAAAATAATTGATGAACCATATCTTCAGTGAGAAATTCACGCAATACATGCTACTCAATATTTAAAGACATATTACCACTATTTACCCTCAATCGGATATTTGATCGCTGTCATGGCTGACTTTCATCACAGAACCAAAACTAGCAATTATTAACTGGAAAGGATAGCAACATGACTAACAGTTAATAAACAATAACAGTGGACAAAACATCACAAATAAAAGCTTGGGTATACTGTAGTGATCGATGATGCCACTACTGTATTCTTCAATTAACGGTAGTGCTTGAACTTAGGCACGTCAAATTAGACTAAAGGTTGATCCAAGTACATGTAGTTATCATTATTATGTATCTTCTGTTAGAATATAGAAACAGATGGACCAGTTTAAGTGGGAGATCAGTCTAAAATAGTTGTTTCAACAATTGCTCTTGTTTTTATGTATTACTCCTTCCTGTGATCCTCAGTATCATGTTTTCCATCTCATCTGTTTTTTTTTCAGTTCATCCAGATATGACACCAGTGGTACCACTTTATCTTATGGTTCCTCTCGTACAAGCATTCCTGTTAAAACTGACGACATCTCTGGTCGTAGAGGCTCACGTTCTAGTCTGACTTCTGATCTTTCATTAGACTCTAGAGACATTGATCTATATGATAGTAGTAGGCGTCGATCGTTACGAAGTGATAAATCTGATATTCTAGGTGCAATTGGTAGACGCTCGTCATATAAAGACGAAAGTTTAACAGAGAAAAGTTCATATACTAGCAGACGTCTCGAAAGAGAAAAGACTGGTGATAGTGATAGTGATCGTTATAAATCTTCGCGAAAAACATCATTAAGGGACTCTTCTTCTGTGGAGAGCACGAAAGACAATGATGTACCACGATCTCAGTATAGGCATTATTCAGCAGATAAAGATAAATCTATATCAAATACTTATAAATCATCATTAGATAGAACAGCTTCTCTTGATAATAATGGAGATGTCAGTTCATATTCCCACAGAAGGGCTTTACGTAAACAGCAGCATGAAGAAGGAATAGCAAAAAAACTCAATGAAAAGTCTTCCGCCACTGGACCAAATCCTCCATCTACTGCAAAGCTTTCTTATCGCGCAAGACGTGAATTGGACAGAACTGCTACTGAAAGCACAGACTCAGATGCTTCAATAACTAGAAAAGCAACTCTGAAATGTGATGATGAACCCACTGGTTATGAGTCATTTGCCGATCGACGACAGAGAAGAAAAGAATCTTTAGAATCCATCAACAGTAACTCGACTAACGAAAATGAGTGTGCCAATGATAAAACGCGTTGGAGATCATTTGCTTCTGACAGTATCAAAGAAGCAAGTACCCCAGTTTCCACAGACGTGTCTTTCAAAAGAACCAGAGTTCAGGATAACAAGAACTTTGATCAGTTAGAAACCAAAGAAGTATTCTGTGCTCCAGAATTAAAAGAGACCACTGATATATCTTCAAATCAAAATAAAGAAACTGATTCGAAAAACAATATAAATGTGGAATTTAAGGAAAAGAGTTATAAATGTTCTGAGAAAGAGAAGTCGCCAGAAATATCAGAAAAAAGGGAAATTTCAACACTTAAAACTGATTCTGCTAGTGAAGAAGTAACTAGGGCTGAACGTATTGCAAAATACAAAGAACAAAGACGACGTCAGCTACAAAATATGGGAAATAAAATTGAACTTCAGACAGACTCAAGCTCTGAGAGTAAAGGTGAATCACGAGGAAACAAATCAACATCAACATTACTGGAAAGTAAAGAAGTAGTTTTACCAGCAAAGGATAGTTCAAAAATAACAATAATAAAATCTGAAAAAACTAGTAAAGCTGAAAAAGAAGAACCTAAAGCTAAGCAAACCATAGAAAAGCAGGAATTATCCACAAATGAAATACCCCAACCCACACGATTACTTAGCGACAAATCCAATTCTCAAGCAGTAGTAAAACCACAAGAATCTGTGAAAGAGATACATGAAACAAAACCAGTCAAAAAGCCGTCGATACCAGAACAGTTGACAATGTCAGTTGAAATACAGCAAGTTACAAAGTGTTTGGAAAGTCAAGAAATTAAAAAGCCAATCAATAAAATAAAAGACCCAACAAACCAATCAGAAACCAAGACATTAAAAGCACTGGATGTAACAAAGACAACTCAGTCAACAGATGCCATCAAAAAGCCAGCACAGAAGACAACTGGCACTGTGAAAGAAAAGTCACCACCACCAAGAACTAGGGTAGGTGATTCACAAGACAAGCAAAAGATTGTTCAAGATACAAGCAGAACCAGAACCTCAAAACTACCATCTCCAAGAATAACAAAGAAATCTATTCAAAATGAACCATCCTCCCCAAATAAACCGCAAGCAACAAAGAGTCCTGCAAAAATTGAAAATGGGAGGCATGCACGTGCAGTTCCAACTATTAAAAAGACAGAAGATGGTTTGAAAGTCAGCAGAAAAACTGTTTCTGAGAGATTTGCTAAAACACAGATAGCAGGAAGAAAACCTTCATCTGGTGTATATTCATCTGATGATGAAGAAGGGCGTCTTGAACGGCCACATCCTCCACGTTCACCAGCAGCAAGACGAGCCAAGTCAGATGCTTCCAAATCACCTTTGGCGTCATCTTCAAAGCGCAAAGTTGCTGATGGTAGCAAAGCTTCTCCATTATCCAAATCTTTATTACCGACATCGGAGACTCCAAAAGAAAAAGTTAAAATAGAAGTCAATGTTCCAGCTTCTCCTGGTAATCTTGATGATCTGTTGAAACAGAATGTGGATTATTTATCAGATGATTCTATCTTAAAGACACCATCACCCACATGTAAATCTAATAATGGACGGAATCTTTCTACAGCTAAAGGATCTATAGCAGATGATAAAACAAGGGCTGCTCCTTTTAAAACCTTTATAAAAGAAGGGTAAGTAGAATCTTTAGTGATTTTGAAATTAAATATTTAGTTGTAATTTAGGGCGTTTAGTTATTGGAATTTTTAATCGGCTAGAAATTTATCTTCGACTGGATAGCCAAATGGTAAGCACGTGCACGCTTTATCATAAGGTCTGTCATTGAGTAAACTGGCATGGTTTGATTCCCCGGTTGTATGTGACAAGGAGTAGGGTTGCCTGTCCAACCTTGTGGGTTTTCTCCGGGTCCTCCGGTTTCCTCCCACTGCTAAAGACCCCTACACACAAGAGAATTATTAAAATAAAATTGAACCATGTGTTAGTCGCAAAATGACCTAGTTTGTGTCGAGTGGACCTCTCTCTCTCTTTCTCCCTGTACTTTTTCACACCACATTTAAAATTTTTGAAAAATTAAAGTGGAACCTATATGACAATCTGCAATTATTTCTTGCCACATTTGGTCATTTAATTTTGACTACTTGAAATACTCTAACCATGACTTACAGTTATCCACAATTTTGTGATCATTACCGCATTAGTTTAGAAGGACAGGTAGGCCGTAAGCAAATTGGCCCTTAAAAAAATATAGCACACTGCATATCTTTTGCCTGTTCTTCAATATGCCCAATTTGTGCAAAAAAGTAGGACATTAAACCTCATTTCATTGATTTTCTGAATGAATGACCTTATGATCTACATCGCAAATTTAGACCATACGGGCACCCAGTCTGCCTTATGTATAGGTAACAACATTGATACTTTTCATTTTGGTTATCCGATTTTGACAAAACTTGAAATGTAGGTTGCTATCCCAAAGATCTCGGTTCCTTTTGATAATGGTATGTATCAGACTGTAACTTCATGGATTATGGACTCTCTAGGGATAACAATTTTTATCTAATTTGGATGAAACTTAAATACATGTACATGTTTATATCCAACAGATCTTGGTTCATTTCGATTTTAGCACACCGGGCCTTAACTTCCTTGATTATGACCCCAGATTGTGCAAAAATTCGTGTTTTTACCTTGTCGGACCTGAACATCCTAGTTTATGGTCCCTGATTGTATGAAAAATTGCTTATTTAACTTGTTGCCTGTCCGTCGCTTGCAAAATATGGACATATCTTGCATGGCAGCCACTTGTAATGTTTGATGAAAGTAGTTATAATGATGAATTTGGCTGAATCATTGTGTAAGAATACTATAACAATAGATGAGCAAGACTAAGATAGAGTTTCTTTACAAACACTGTATGTGTTCTTAACGTTTTGTTTGTTTTGAGGGGAAACAGAGGTAATGTCATCACAGATTTTCATAAAGTATCAGTTTTATTCAAGATATGTTATGTTTGTGTATAATGGTATCACACCTTGATGATTCAATATCGTATACTGCCAAAATAACCCACATGCTTGTTTGAGCCAATATTCATTCCATTACCAATATCAGGAGTGCACATTTAACGTAAAATTAGTGGAATTTAAAACTTGAGCGACATAAATGCAAAAATGTGACACAAATGCCAAAAAGTAACTATTTATGTATGATCATAATACATGTATGTAAGCTGTACACATTTTAAGTCACCAAATATGGTTTTCAGCCATGATGGAATAACTTTACAAGTTTTGATCCAGGACATTTTGGACCAATTGAAAAAAAAAAAAAAAAAAAAAAAAAATTGTTGGAGGGGTAGCTTGACTCTTGATCATCAAAATTCACTGGAAAAGTGCTATTTGTAGTTACATAATACTTATAATACTTGACATGTGTAAATAAAAAATATAGCACTTGATTATGCAATTTCTAGGGAGTAGGGACCTGACCATTTTCAACTTTCTGCGGTGAGAATGACCACCTGCTTCCACCTGCCTGACCCCTTCTAGTGATCCCTTCTAGTGATCCCACTTTCACATCCAAATTTAGTTATTTACTGCCAATAACAATGATCAAATTATATGATGTATGTGCTTATTGGAAAGATAAGACAGTTCCTTTACGTAGTTGAAATATGGTATAATTGTGAAATTTATTAGTGTTTTACCTATGTTTATTATGGTTGGTGTATTATTGTTGGCACCATTATCTCTACTTGTGGTGTAATTATAGATATAAGTATTTGTTTATTGATAGGTATTGTTTATTGTTGTAACTATACAAAATGGATGTCATTCTATTTGTCTCGTACAGAAGTACTAATTGTTCCTACAGACTCAATCAATCTGTTATATAGCTGCCTTTAGTTTGCAATGCCGCTACTTGTACTTTGTATTTTTATACAGACACATTTTCATGTGGTTAAAAACAAAGTCATGGATATCACAAAACCATCTTTTATAGCATCTAGCGTTTCGTAAGTGTAAAGACTTACTTCCTCAGAGAACATCGTGAACGCTCAACGACAAAATTCATCATCCAATTCATGAAATTGATATGCATTATTTGAATTAGTAAAACGAAAAAAAGGCTTTCCAATTTCAACAATTTTTGTATATTACTTCCATGGTTAAGGCCCTTGTTTCAGTTTGTAGCAACCTATCTTTATCTGATTTTGACGCAATTTGAAACATAGGTTTATCTCCCAAAGATTTTGGTTCCTTTCAATATTGAAATGTATCATATTGTAACTTCATAGATAATGGCTCCTGATTGTACGAAAAATCACATTTTTAGCTTATCTGAACATCTGCATTGATTTGGTGAATTAAATTCTGAACTCGCACCAAACAAAGTTAGGGAGAGATATTAAAATGGGGTCCGTACATATGTCCGTCCCGATCTAGTTTCCGAAGCACATCTCATAAACCGATGTCCTCCAGGCTAGTGAACCAATACCTAACCCACTCTGTCACCATGGGTTCCGGTTAGGCTGATAATTGCTGAAGCATTGTAATTACTTGTACACTCTCTCTCATACAGTTCCTCTTGGGGAATAACTGTTGGGAGAGAGAGAGAAATGAGGTTTAACGGTGACTCAACACAAACTAGGTCATTTTGGGACTAACACATGGCTCAATTTTATTTCAATAATTCGCTTGCGTGTAGGGGTCTTTAGTAGTGGGAGGAAACCGGAGGACCCAGAGAAAACCCATGAGGTTGGACATGCGACCCTACTCCTTGTCAGGTACAACTTGGGAATCGAAACCCCACCAGTTGACTCAATGACAGACCTTATGATACAGCGCACCTGTGCTAACCATTCGGCCATCCAACCCCCCAATAACTGTTGGACTTTCTGCACTAATATATTTGAGCCTGCTACAACTGCATGTACCTATATCGGTGGACGGATGTTTCGGCCACTGGACGTTTCGGCCTAGGATGTTTTGGCCAATGGACATTTCGGCCTAGGACATTTTGGCTAATGAACCAATTTTACAAAAACAATTTAGAAAACTTTTTAGTTTTAGCTATACTTATAAACTTGCGTAATGTGCAAAAATACAAGTGATCTAACTTCCAACTTTAGTAGGGAGCAACGGTGGCTAACTGGGTAAAACGCTGTCTCACTAGTCTGGTTGCGTGTTCGATCCCTGCATTGGCTGGGAAAGTTTATCAGGATTTTCCTGTCTTCATAAAAACTGTTATCCTATGAAATATATACAGTAGTGCTTAATGAAAATTAAAATATATCTGATTACTTATTTTCTGTTGAAGAGAAAACAAAAACAAATCAATCTGTTGAAGAGAAAACAAAAACAAATCATTCTGTTAAAGAAAAAATAAAAATAAATTGTTGACTTCTCCCAACAGGCCATGATAAGCACAAATATGTATGACCTTTAGATACAAACAATATTTATTTATCTTAACAAAATCCATTATAGACCTAAATATTTTGGTTTTTTAATCTAATAAAAAAAATAAAAAAACATTTTTTAAATACATATCTACATATTGTTTAGTGGGACTATAGTGTATGTGACTTATTTTATAGAAACAATGAGTAGGTCATTAATTTTGTAGACTTAATGCAGATAAGAATCTTACAAAACAGGTTTACTTCAATTGTATCAGTCATGAGTTGGGACTACTTGTCATATGAGGTAGAGGCATGCATTTTGGACTAATTCTCGAGATGTGAATATTTCTAGAATGAAAAGTTGAATATCTTGTTAAACGGTGCACCAGGGTGATAAAATAACACAATGGAATTTCACAGGAGCAATAAGTTTACCTGTTTATGCCAAGAAATTTTTTGTTTTTAACGAACAAATATCTGTTATTGCTATTAGACTGCCAGATCTAGACTGCTAAGTCTTATGAGTAGGATAGATTAACTGTTCATGTACCTGTGTATTTAGCTGTATATATTAGCTGTGGGCTATAGATAAATGTAGTCCTTGGATTAAATAACCTTTACCTATAATTACCACAGTCATGGGAGCCTGGTATGCATGTTTTTTTTTTAACTATTGCTTTAAGTGGTTCTTTTTGAACAGAAGAGGCATTTATATGATGCATAATATTATTGAAAAAAAAATACTCCTCACAAACCACCTGGAAATTGTTAGCTTGTGATATGAATTTTAGATTTCTGTTCACTGATACGAATAATATGACTTTCTATGACCAGTATTGGTCTCTAAAATCCTGAAACTTCTAATTTTGAATTTTTGATGTTTATTTCTATTCAGTAAAATGGGCACGAATATAAATAAATATGACAGTATTTGTTTTATTATTAGAACTGTTTATTAAGATAAGTCTCTCTATATTGGCTGTTGTCCATATTGAATCATTGTGTAAACTTATTTCTTATCTTACCAGATATTACTATTATACAGCATATTCTACTCATTATCAAACGCTTCCTGCGAATTTCACTTACAAAAATCTTCATGTAAAATATTGTGTGAAAGATTTGTGGCTTGGTATTAGGCCTACATGTGTATGTATTCTTTAATTTGTAGTGTACATGTTTCATGGCTGGAATCAAGATTAAGATCCCCCTTGTATGACCATCATCCGAGTTCGGACTTTTCAGGTCAGGGTGTCCTTAACATGGAAATTGTGTTCAGTAATTTGAATATGGACAGAAATTTATAATAGGTTTTAAGACAGGAATTTCCGGCCACACTGCACACATCTAACAGAGAAAGTCATCTATATGTTTATTTTGATAATCTCCAAATGGCCAAGTAATGTCATTTGTTTAAAGTTGAGAAAACAAAACTACCTTTACAAGCAAAGCTTGCTTCCATATATAAACGTTACTGTTGTTTTGAGATTGAAATTGTTCAGTAGGTATTTGTAAACTAGCATTTTGCTATAAAATATCATTAGGCTAAGAATTAGAAATATTTCTTCAATTAATTTTAATAATTTTTCAGGCAAAGTCAACCAGATGACAACAATGAGAACCTGCTAAATACCAATGACATCAAGGGAGTTAACTCCAGTAAGACTGTTAAACAGCAGTCTGAAAGTAAAGAAACAGTCAATGACAGTGATGATGGAGAATTTAATACAGCACCCTCTACACCACAAATTGATCGATCTGACAAAACAGGTATATAAAATTTTCATAATATTTAGAGACACTATTTGAAACCCAAGATTTAATAAAATGTATGATAAACATGAAAATAATTCTTGACATTGTACAAAAATAACGAGCGAAATACACATGCACTAACAGAATGACCCATCTAAAGAGGAACGATCGTTCTTGCATTGCAAATTGTATTTAAACTTGACTTTTTGTCAGTTACTCTGAAAAATAAGATTATATCCAAGACAGAGATCCCATAAAATATATAGAAGGCATTGCGACATGGTTGATAATTCCAAACCCAAATGATAATTTAGGCAGTATCTAATACATGTAGGTGATAAATCATATCTGCAGTTAATTCACACAGTATACTACATGCAACTCAACAGGGATATTACCATTATTTACTTTCACAAATATTTAGTTGAATTTTTTAAATGGTGTTATGATCGACTTATCTCTCCAGTGGTTCAAGACTATCTAATTCTCTAAGTCACCTAACACACATTCATTCCATATAACTTGTCAGAAAATTATACAAAACTCTATTTCTATAACAAACTATTTTTCAATTTAGCAAACGCGTTTTAGGCAACTAAATAAATACTTAAAAATCTATTAAAGCAGTCTTTATATATTGCCTGACAGATGTGTTCAGAAAGGAGAATTTATTTGCAATCTTCAAAATAGCTGTTTAAAAAAATAGGTCACATGTAATATATTTTAGAGAATAAAAGTTTGATCTTTGTTTACGTTATAATTACCAACCAACATATTTCTGTTAGTGTTGGAAAGGATAATCCATATTTTATAAGAGTGTATTGGATCATATATCACTACTGGTATATTTATAAGAGTGTATTGGATCATATATTACTACTGGTAATATCATGGGACTACTGTTTAGTGCAGTGTGCTGTTTGATGTTTGCGGGTGATACCATGGATTTCATAATAAAATAAGTCTAATCAGTGTCATTTAACTCTAAAAGTGATCATATTTACTAAATGAACATGTCAGCATCCATGGACCACCGACTATCCGAACACAGAGGATCTAACGATCATGCCCAGAACATGGGCTGAACTTAACATACATATTATATTCTTTAGATAATAATAATAATAATTCATTTATATAACACCCAAAATCCAGCTAAAAGCTGCTTGATAGTGCCAATACAATAAACAAATGTATATAGCATCCAGTGTTGAAAATGCAGTTTAAAAGCATAAATATCCTTAAATTTTAAAGGAAAATCTACACAAATTGATCACTGAGCTGTGGCACAATAACCAGTAACAAATTACAGACTGAAATATCCCAGATACAGATATAAAACATAAAAATCACAGAGTTCACAAAAATTTCCAGGTAATCACAGAAATATTCCTGGCTCATTTCAAGCATCACATGCTGAAAACATGTTATTTAGAATTTGTTTATATCATTGATATATATATATATAGTTTGATTTATTTTCTAATTAGAAACATCCAAGTATTTTTGATGTGAGATGATAGTGGAGTATTTCTTTCATTCATAGATTATTTCATTTAATTTTTTGCTTTCATTAAAATTTGAAGCAGCTGAGCTGACAAGGTTTTTAGTTTTTATAGGCAATTATGTGTTATTGCCTAATTTATTTTGAAGACGGTTAACCAAAACATTACAAGTTTTAATTGGCACGGGTGAAAGGTTAACAATTATAGAAATTGATGTAAAAAGAAGTACTGGAATGCGTGGAAGGCCAAGAAACATTTTCTGTTACTTTAATTTAACAAAAATAATGGTTGAAAAGTTTTCTGCCAGCTGTGATTTCAATAAAACTCTACTATGAGATACAGTCTTACCTTAATGTTCATGGATTTAAAAGAGTTATCCTTTAATCGTTCTAAAATAATAAAGAAGCTTTAGGTGGCATTATATTGTGTATTTAACTTCTTTATGCATATACAGAATAAACTTTGATTAAAATGAAAATCTTCTTTAAAGAGCCAATATGTCAGATGGTTTCCAGTATTTTGAGAATGACAAAATATGTAATATTTTTACTATAAAGAATGTTATTATAATCTAATAAATTTGTTAAGAATGCCCCAATTAAAAACTTTTTCATAAAGGATACGCTAGCTTATAACAAAAAACATTTGACTTCTGTTTCGGCTACCTTTCCCTTTAAGTTTGCATACATGTAAATTCGGATCAGCAGATGCCAGACTTGTTCTATAAATATCTCAAGTTAATGTGGGTAATAAAATTTAAATCCACTGTAAATGTGAGAATAATTGGAGCCAACTGTTATCAGAACAGTTCATTTATTATTAATTGCTTTGATAATTGGTTCAGTTTTTTATCATTTAATATTATAGGTGTTTACATGTACTGACTTTTTGAAGTTGCATTTCATAAGAGAGATTTTATTTAAAGCAAACCTTGCCATGCGAACCGAAGGAGCTTTCTTGTACTTTGTAATGTATAAGAAAACATTGCTGCACCTCATCATATAAACCTAGCAAGCAATCACTTATTAAATTATTTTCTGACAATTCACTATTTACATGTCATATGATTTTATAGTTTTGGCATGGTGTATTTATTATATCCTGTTGTTTTGATATTGAATGAGGATGCTGAAAGTTAAATAATTTGCAAAGGATTAAATAAATAAAACTTTTGCTATTTGTATTTTGCTCTATGATAAATTTCAAAATATTCTCTCACATTTGATCTGAATTGTTTCTTAATCAAAGGTTACTTATATGTATATTTGGTTTAGGTGTTAGAGAAATACCAATAGATATATATATTTTAAGTGTGAAACATAACAACTGTATACAAAGTTCATCTTAGTTCAAGTAAAGGTAGTTATTAGGAACGCAGGATTTGATCTTTTGAAAAGATTTTTGATATGAGGTGTGGAACAGAATTGATTGAATGTTATTATGAATGGACGGTATTGATGTGATAATGTCACAACTTGCTTTGTTTACTTGTCGAAATGAGAATCAGTGTGTAGAACGTCTGAAATGAAATAATTTTTGGTCTATATTGTTGAATAAATTACACAAGGGTATTACAATATTTGAAGTGTGCGACTCCAGTGAAACATTTTATTTCAAATCATATTATTTATTATTCTAATATTCATGTATTGACACATCTGATTAACCAACTTTTTAAAACAGTTTTTGAAAGGAACAGTTGGATCATTTTCTAAAAAATTAAGAAAACTGAATTTGACTTTTAAAATTATATGTACCTTCCTTAGATGTTTTCTTTTATTTAAACTGTCAACTGAAAAATGTTTTAGGTAAATTTTAAAATGATACAATCTAAAGATTTTATTCTGCATGATGCAAGACAGACACCCATCATAATTAATCACTAAATAATGCAAAAGGACTAATATAAAGATTCCAGAAGTCACATCTAATATTTCATAAATTATTTCAATGGCATTTAGTAATTGAACTGGAATATACAGGTCACAATCATTGTACACTGGCATATGCCCATCTTCATTATCCCAGTTGGTGCAGAAAGGTAGGATGTTAAACCCCATTTCATTTGATTTCATTGAGATAGATGTATACAATTTTTTTTTTATTTTATACATGTAACTGGAATATACAGGTCATAATTCTATGGAATACAATTACTTCTTACTAAAGAAATAATGCTTCGTTAATGTTGACCAACCAGAGAATCTTCTAATTACCTGAAAGGAAACCTAACTTAATTAACATAATATAATTATGAAAGTGATCTAGGTTGATTAAGGTGATATTAATAACAACATCTAATATGACACAGGCCACTTTACCTGAAAATAAAACAAATTGATTAATGGATTACTTGTTGTGAAGTATTGAAATGAAATGAAATGGGGTTTAACGTCATACTCCTAAACTGGGCTAATGAAGACGGGCATACGCCATACAGTGTGCTATGAGGGAAATTTTGCTCGGGCAGCGGCACTACGGCCAACTCTTATATTGAATTCCAACTGCCAAGGGATCTTTTACGTGCACGCCAATGTGTACACGGGACCTCGGTTTTCCGTCCCATCCGAACGACTAGTAAGCTGTCCTTGTCAGGCCCTCCGTCCTGCATCACTGACAAGGGGAAACCACGCTGGAAAATCTGGATGAATTTTCTTGGCCAATGCAGGGATCGAACACCTGACCTCCAGGCTAGCGAGCCAGCGTCTTACCCACTTAGCCACGTGATCCCCCTTGTGAAGTATTGACAATGATTTGATCAGGTTTGATCAAGATTAGAGAAGCCTAGTCGAAACATCGCTCAGTAATAAGCAGCAATTGTATTCCATAGAATTGTTGTCTGTATAGGCTATTTCATAGACTGAAACTTTAGGTCTGGTCAGAACACAAGTCACCAAACAGTGTTTTAAAAATAGTTAGATATGTTAGCTATGTGAACTTGAGCATGTTAATTTCCTTTAGATATAAAATTTTTGTGAGATGTTAGTATAGAGGTGTTTTGAAGTATAAACCAGTTTATTAATTAATAGATTAAATTCAGGGACAGCCTTTAGGGAGTTGTGGGGCCACATTACTATTTTGTACATAGACCGATTTTAATTCAGATTGCTGTGGTATCAATTGCCCCCGCCCCCAAAAGGAAAATCAGCCCGTACGCCTATGCTCAGGAAGCAGCAAATGTTGACTTTAGTGAAATGACTAGAAATGACTACCGGTACTTGAGAAGGAGTAGATTGCCCCCAGACTAGGCGAGCAATTAGTCAGTTGGCTTAAAGTAGTGCTCCTACGACTAGTCGGATAGCCGTAAACGGTTAGAACTGGACGGTTAAACGGTTTGAATTCAACGGTACGGTTATTCGGAGATGTCCCCCATTACATAGAGTTGTGTCTTATTATATTCCTCTTTATAACAAAACTTGCCCGTTGTAATTTTGTATTTGATGTTAGAAAATTTTAGAATGTAACAGTCGTCCAACGATGTCGACTGCTAAACAATGATGCTATTAATAG